CTAAATTAAGTGTTTTGTTCAGGATAGATGGAGCCTCTCTTAGAATAACAACAATGGGCATGATTACTCTTCCTCTTAGTGGTCTACATTATGGCTCCACTTAGTAGGCAGCTACCAAGCTCCATCTGAAAACTTGGGGAACTACTTAAAAGAAATCTGACTCAGGCTTGACCAAGAGATGGCTCTTGAATGGCAGCTATTTGGCAGCATCTCCAAATCTCCTTGGCTTTTGGAATAAGACAGCAAATCTAGCAATCGAATTCTTCTCTTGCATTACATTGCAAAAGGATGGCAGTGTGACTATCCACAGAGAATACCCTTAATTCACGTGCTCTTTGCTATACTACAGGTGCAAGAACCACCTGCCACCCCATACTGAAATCTGTTTCAGTATTATACAGTTTTGCTGAACTGACCAACGCTCTAAGGGAGTTTAATTTCTTCTTGTGCAATTCAGCTCCTGTGCAATCCCCTGTAGACTTTATACATGTAAATAAAAAATGCTTGCACAGGTGGGCCATGTTCTTTTTTGCATTAAGAAATTCTGCTGTAGAAAGTGTGTCGTTTTAAGCATTTAACCAAAAAGGCTCATTTTTGCACATCATTTACTTTAGGAGTACAATTACTACTGCACAACTGCTCCTCAAAGAACAGGCTGCATTAAGTTGTCTTGCCATCTGTGAAACTGATGTTTCTAAACGTGGAAGTAGTCTAGCTTCAGGAGAAGACTTCACCTACTTTGTTTCGTATTACTCTGGCTGAACATACCCCTGGTTCTTGCTTGCTCTACCTCACAATGACAGAATGGGTGTATATACATATATAAGGCCACTGCTGTTAGGCAAATACGTAACAGACTTAAGTGCTTAACTTTAGATGCCCACGTTTAAAAACCCTGGCCTACATTAGAGTCAGCTTCACATAATCAGATACAAATTGACAAAAGTTTCTCAATTTTTCAAATACTTTCAGTTAATTATCTAGTATGAAGAAAATTACAGAATCACAGAATTTACAGATGTACTTGCAATTTGTTATTAGGGTTTTATCACTGAAAAGCATTCAAATGATGCCTCTGCAGAGAGCTTTACATTTTTGTTAGTGTCTAGTAGTGCAACTGCAAAACTGCTCAGTTTAAGAGAACTCATCACATACTGTTTATCCCTAAGGTCATAAATCCTTTCCTTTGGTACAGCCATGCAGCACATTCTCAAAGACATCCATTGTATTGATCGAGCATGAGCAAACAAGTTTTAATGAAAACATGACTTGAAAAAGGCAAAGTGCTTGTATGATATAGATGGGGCAACAATTTAAAAGTGAACTATGATTTTTTTTTAAGCTAAAAAATTAAGACAAGTTGGTAAGATTACCAAAATGGAAAAGGGCATCTTGCCAATTTGCCTTCCTTTAAACGTTAATTAGCATTGTATTTTCAGAGGATTACCTCTCCTGATGTTCAGATATCTGAGCTACAGCCTTCCTGTTGTTTCTGCTAGAGTGAGTCATATCAAAAGCACCATTGCTTGATAATAAACAAATAGAATGGAATAATTATTTCACATTTCTTTTTGTGGTGATCTAACCCATGCTGGCAGAGTAACTACAAAGTATATAACTGATATATATACACGTTAGGATTTGAGTCATGATTGTCTCAATTATCTGTTTAAAGTACAGCACTTGATACTTCCAAGGTCAATTTCCTCTCTATTATTTTATCCTATTTTGAGGGATGAAAATTCATTCCTATAATCATTTGCAGACATCAGCTGAGCCTCAAATCTAAGCAAAAGTGCAAAGAAAAGAAAACCTGTGCCTTTAATTATTTGCTGCTGCAAAAGTGGGGCCCCGGATAAGAATGCGATGAAAAATTGATGCTTAAATCTTCGTTATAGGTCAGATATATTATCCTTGTGTATGCTGTATTCTGACAATTATAGATTTTAAGTACTACAGTATTTCACATACTTAGTTTGGGTGCACTTGAAAAGTTTCAGCATTTTGGTATTTCACCTAGACAGACAAGCACACTTTAAATCTCTTCCTGTACTTGATACCCAAACACCTCTGGAGACAGAAGACATTCACAATACATTTAAAAACAAAACAAAACACCACTCACTTCATAGATGCACTAAACAGAAGCAAGAACATTAAAAGCCTTAGTAGCTGCATAAGTACACCCCCCCACACACACCAAAAACATGTTCTCTGCACTTACAACACAAGTAAAAAGCAAATTAAAATGGGCAAACAACTTGCAAGAATTGGCTTCCTAACACACATGGACCTTCCTGCTGTGGCCTTATGAAGCTGAATTGTCCAACATGCAGAAAGCACTGTTAATTTTGACTACACATAAATCAAAAGCATTGGGAACCATGCTAAAAACTGATTATTTTTAACAAAGGATGCAAGGAGGACTAGATTTATTGCCTGTAAGTTGAGCATCATGCTAGGGTTTTTCCCCTGTGAGAACGTCCAACACATGCTACTTAGGAGAAGCAACTGGCCTGAAACCACAGAGCAAAGCCAAGAAAGATGCCAAATAGAAAGAATCTGCACTACAGACATTGCCCTCTCAACCCACTAATATTCATGCCTCTTCCCATCTCTCTCAGTGCTGGTTAGTTGGCCTGCAGCATGCATAAGAGTTGATGAGGAACTGTCCCTCCTACTCTACCTAATTTTGCTCAGCTGATTCCTTGCCCTGGACAATGGCTGCAGTGCGATGAATTCGTCACTTAAAGCAACTCTGTTGGAGTACATCTATAAGTGGACAGAGAAGGGATGGAACACATACGTCAGTAAGAAGTATCGCTTTTCTAAGAGAAAGACACAGGACAGGTTTTTAGAGACATTCTGTTATTTAAGTGGAATATACATCATACACAGAACACGTGAGACTGATACCTACAGGATAGTTCCTGGTTCCATCACTTTTATTCTTCATGGAGACCATGTTCCTTAATTTTTGTAGTGAGGGAAAAACCCCATATGCTGAGAATTCTTTTCCATGCATCCCTATACGCTGCCCTTACTCCTATACTACTATCATTTCTGGTATTTACCAAAAGATTTACATTTTGTTTGGGATTGTTCCACACTGGCTGTTTCTTCCTATGTGATCCCATGGTAGGACTGTAATGCAGAAGTTAGCTGGAATTATTCCCATGGCAACAGATTGAACTCAAACACAGAATTATGGATTTCACTGTAGGAGTAGGCAGAAAGTAGCAGAACACACACAAAAATATTACACACATTCACCTCGGAGAACACCCAGGGAAAGCCTGTCCAAGTAGGAAAGTCAATCAAGTCATTCTGCAAATTATTTAGATAAATTCTTAATTTACGGGCCTTTCAAAATGGAAAGGACTAGCTGTTGCTTATTCAGTAGTGTCCATTTATGATCTATTACCACATTTAATTTTAAGAGAGAGTTAACTAAAACAGCATATAAATTTTAGTGTGATTTGAGAACCACTAGTTTTACTATGCTATAATCTGAATTTCAGTTACTGTTA